CTGGTTGAGAGTAATGAAGGCACTTCCGGTTGGAGCGTCGCTATATGCCCTTTAGGAGAACAGGAGGAAGTGCTCTGAAGCCCAAAAAGCATTAGCTTCTCGAATGAGGAAGTCTCTAGTTCTTAGCACCTGTCATTACACGAACTAAAACAAAAACAAACTAGGCCAAATAAGCCGAACTTCATTGCGGAAGTTGTCCAAGATATTTATTTAACAGTAGATGAGAAATCTCACTTAAACCCCCTAAGCCCCTGAAATGTCACCGTAGATAAATAGAAGCATGGAAATTACCCTTAAGAGCCTCAACAGCTCAGGGGATAAGGAAATTCATATGCACTTGCGATAAACAGTTTGATTGATGCCACAATCTGTCAGCTTTCTCAGAAAAACAAGGAAGGATCAGAGTTAAGCTGATTCAAGGGGCTTCTCTCCTGTTCAGGTGTTTCTAGATGTTGACTGGAACGGGGGAAGGGGGTGTGCATAAACGGACCTCCTTGGCAACATTTTGGGTGGCACAAGGCCCATTTGAGGAGTGGGGTTTTTCAAATACTGCTGCTGGAGGAAACCCTAGACGTTGCGGGGTTATATGTTCCCTATCACATTTTATCCGCCAGTGAATCGCCTCCTAGTAGAGAAAGTCCTTCCAAAACTTCACATTGCCTATAGGCCCCGCCTATCCAACTAGCCACGCCCACAATGCGGTGGGAAGAGCAGAACTAAATCATTTCGACTTGAAAAAAAAACTTAAGATCTGGAAGGTGGTCTAATCTTCCTTGGTTTCTGAAACGTGGCTGAAAAGTGGCTCACAGTCATTCACCTGGAAATAGAGGACGGACATTTTGGAGCAACCCTGGGGGCCTTCTTAAGTGGTTTCGTCCTCTGGTTTCAGTTTTGCCTGAAACTCGGTCCTTAGGTACAAACCCAATTTCATACTTAGTTGAGTACTAGTAGCTCTGCTGTCTGCACTACATTTGAACATAATTAATGATAAAAACTCCCACGTATTAGCAGACATAGATTTCTTCCAATTGAATAAAGCAGTTGAAGCTTTTATTTCAGGATGAACCGAAGGAAATCCCGAAAGTCTCACCGCCTAACCTGAAAGAGAAGAAAGGTCGTTACATTCTCCTGCCGACGATCCCTGCAATGAAAGTTTTCGTCGGCGAGGTGAGACCCACACACACAGTGCTCATCTGTTATCCCTAGTGCCGTAAATTTCTCAAAACTAGTTTTCAACATTTTCAGGACGCCCCTGCCATCGTTCCCACCGAGTCGTCCAACATTCCACCACAGGACACCTCTGTGGCCACTACGACGGCGCCGCTTGGTCTTCCAACACTCAGCACTGCACCGACAGTCCCTCTGCCGGCGCCGTTGCCACGTCCTAGTCCGATAGCCGTCACCGCACCGAACTTCTTCCAGTCATTGTCGGGTGTCACACCCGTGGCGCCAGCTACCACCACCGCACCGTTTGGCGCCGGTTTCACTGCCGATCAGCTCCTCGCTACACTTCTGCCCTCAAGTGTATTACTTCAGAATGCTGGTCTACTGCAACAAAACGCTCTTGCTAGCCTTCTTGGTCTAGCAGCCGCGCCTGTTGTAGCACCTCCATCAACCTCATGTGCCAACGACGTTTTGGCACTTCTACGAGCACAACAATCTGCTCAGTTGGCTGCCGCATTAGCGGTTCCCGGCAAAAACACACTGCTACCCTCCAGTACCTCGCCGGATGACCTCATACAATCGTTACTTGCACAAACCAGGCAACCGATCTTTTCGCACAGTCTTTGAATGGGATACGCCTCTTTTGTTTGGTGGATTTCCAAGTATAGTCTATTGTAAGTATTGCTCTAATGCACCAATTCATTGGTGACCCTTGGCTGAATTTCTCGCATCTGCGAGTTTTGTGTGCACGATTATTGATCCATTCTTAATCGAACCATTCGATCAATTTCACAGTGACGATTGAACCCGTCCTAGCAACACGTTCTCGTCATTCTCGTGTGTGTACCATGAGTGTGTGTGTCTGTGCTTGTATGTGTGTGTATTGTTCGTTCCATATACGGGTATCATCGGCTAGAGATGTTAGTTCTCTCCACCTCTTCGTTATCCTCGCGTTAGTGGAAGATGTCCGACCTCCGAATTTGTGACAGATGTCCAAAGACACATTGCGCATGTATAACTATAAAATCACGTTTTATTTTCTTCGTTTTCTTTCTACCCAATTTTTTCTCTGAATTTTCCATGAATTCCACGTAATTCTTTCATCCATGTTGATGCGGAGTCAGGTTTAATCGCGTAAAAAATGAACTCATTGCTTTGATTTAATTTTTTCTTTATGAACTCATAATTTCTCATATTATTGTAAGAAAGGCGCAAAGTGGCTTGGGGAGCCAGTCTTCAGTACTGCGTCAGGGTCACGGTAACCTTCAGTTTTGTCCTGAGGAGCTAGCTTTAGTTCTGCACTTGGCACCGCACCGTGGGCGTGGCTAGTGGAATGGGCGGAGCTATTGGGCAATGTTAGGTCTCGGAACGTCTATCTCCACTAGGAGTCAGTTCACTGGCGGATCAAATGTGATGGAACGCATATACTCTAACTCTAGCCTACGGTAAGAACTCTGAGCCCCACGGTAAGAAACCTCAGGTGCGTGAGAGTTTTTATTCCCCCGGAGTTTATTCCCTCTCGTAGGCTGAAGCTTGGACCGTAACCCTGATACAGTTTTACAGGCTGGCCCCCCTAAGCCACATGGTGCTGAATTGTATTGGAGGCCTTCAAGTACACAACGTGATTCCGTCAATTGTCTTCCAAGCCTAGAATGGCCTTGAAAAGAAAGGGGGGGGGGCGTTTGAAAGCCCTTAGCGAGCCTGCCAGCTTACGGTAGCGAATCAGTGGTTGTGCCTGAAGGTCTTCACACTTTTGTCACTCCTCCTTTTCCACCTCCTTGTGCATGCAGCCACCTTTTTTTTCTTAATATTGTGTCACGAAATTTGTAATAGAGAATTTGTGTTGGTATTATTTTATATTAAATAGATTTCTAGCTTATAACTATGTCTGATGTTGATTTTAATTGTCTCTCGCTGTTACCGTGCTGTTACAATTTGGTCCCATGAAAACTATGCGTATTGATCGATGACCGTATCTCAACATGACATAAAATTACGAAACTTCTCATTTTCTGCTTGTATACCAAATAGATATTGTTATGTGTTCAACAGCATCGTGTATCGCGGAGCTTTCAGCTGAATCCCCGTGAAAATCAGCAATTCCATACGAATTTGACGACTTTTTGGCATCACGTCATCTTCCTCGTCTTAAAATGGAATGCATTATGTCATCGTAGATTTTGTCACGTAGTGAAATCAAGAGGTTAATGTACAAAAGAAAGCAATCGATTTGTCTGTCTGCGTCTATCATCTTATTGATTCGTTGATTTTTTTTCCGTTCTTTGTGGGCGATGTTGTTTCGTTTTCTTGTGTATATGTAAACTATGAATGAAGTGTAAATTAGTTTTTGGCTAGTACAATTTTATGATTGCTCGTATGTTACAGATCCTGGCCGGGGTCTAAAAAAAAGGGGGGGGGCGGAGGGTTGCGGTGTTCAGAGCCCATTGCTTTAACACCTTGAAGACAGTGCGCGTTTTTGCCTTGCGGCGCACGTGGGGCATGAGCGCTTTGGCGGCAGCGATCCTTGAGACGCGCAGTCGCGCCTCACTGTCCAGCAGGAAACGCTTTTCGGAACTCAGCAATCAAAGTAGCGAAACAAGATAGAATGTGAGTTAGGAGGGATGAGCAGTTGGCGACAGTCTACTGACGCCCTCTAAGGGAGATAGGGGTAATATTAGCGCAAAGTAAGTGGCCGTAAATTAAGGGGGATATAGTCATTTCAGGGCAGTGGAGAATAGGGAAAGTTGCTTGAAATGCATGAAAAGTGGGATGCGCTCGTCTTCACTATCTTCCTCTGAGGACGCGTTCATACTCTGCGGAGCGTCGAGAATTCTTGCCTCCCCTCAATTGTCAAAGCGCCCGAAACAAGCAGGTTCAGCTGCTGTGTCAAAGCATATCTTACCATTTCATGGACCACAGCGTTTATAGTTAGGTTGAATATATGATCTAGAAAATCAATACAAACAAAATGGGAAGAAGCCGCGCATGCGCTGGATAAGCTGAGACGCGGAACCGCGTCTCAATGTCCAACGTGGTCCGTAAATTGAGGCACGCGACCGCGTCTCACTGTTAGTGTGTTGGAAACAACCGCCAACTTTGGCACTATTTGCCCTACTGCCCAACTCCTCTAGAGTGAACAGGATTTTTGCGGAAATTTGTCCATGGTTATGGATTTGGCCCGATAGTGCCTCCAGGGGTAGTTGTACCCGTCAAAACGAATATCACATTTGTATAGCGCGAAAATGTAACAAGCACCGTGCCAAAAGGCGCTAGAAAAATATCTGGATCACCAAATCCACCGGAGACTGTCATCAGGGGAAGTCTACCTCGCAGAACATGGAAATCGTATTGGTTCGTTGGAAGTGAGCTTGCAGCCTCCACCACAGGCGTCGACGTAAAACTAGTGTGATAGCATCGGCGCGCGGCGCTAGGAGTTTTTGCTCTGAACTGAAGCTCGAAATCCCCAGGGGCAAACGTTCTGCCAAAGTCCTAGACATTACGCAAATTTGGTCATAAATCCGGCTTAGTTTCTTATGCCAATTAGGGTAAAGAGTCCCTTGTTAAGGGGCAGTGGAGGGAAACCAGCGCCCCAATTTTCGTACGTAACGTTCAAGGCTAAGCTCTTGAAGGAGGGCTCCGAGGAGCACTACAATTTCCGGGGAATCGTCCCATCCTAGGCTAGCTGCTCCGGAAAACTACTAATCGCTCACAAAGCATGACAGCCTCTCATCGCGTCACAAGTTACAGAAACCCCTACAGCATACAAAGAAATAGCGAACAATGAAGCTGCACACTGTCCGCAACTTCAAGGGACCCCCTTCAACCAAATTGGCATTAGAGCAGGGTGTGCATAACAGTGCCCCTTTGGAGAGACCCGCTCACGTATGCCTTATCCCGGCAGGGGATAAGGTAATGTTTGATAGTGTCCACCATCAAATTGCGGCATGCTTCTGAACACGACCCTATTGTCCATAGAACCCCTAGAGACTCGCGTTGAAACAGAAATTTTTTACTTACTTTTTTTTATTCTCGAGCAAATTTTCTCGCTTCGCTGGACCGAAATGCAACCTGCAATGTTCCCATACACGACTTCCTCGCGAATTACGCGGTACACGCTTAGTTCTGGAGCACATAGCGCTGTTCTAAAAAATCGACCGCAGAATAGTCAAGTAGATCTCAAGCTCTTTATTACCTGAATCCATTCGCACTGGCAATGAACATATCGGCGTCACCGATCGGCTGGCTCATACATTCCATTCTGTGGTGAGAAACGTGTGCTAACGCTGAAACGATTCTGAGTGAAGGTTCATTGCATGGCGCATACCGAAATGGAACCATTCAATGCTGATATTTTTATAAAATTTTATCATTTTTAGTTGAGTTTATTAATTTCATTGATAATTGGATAGGTTACCACTTATGAACAACGGCCAAAACTTTGGCAATGGCAAGTCAGTGGAGCTTGGAGCAGGGTGAATATCGGTCGAGGAAATCCTCGACAGGGGGGTCGTACCTGTTGGGCTGGTCCATGGGGGGTCGTACTCTGGGGTCAGTAACAGAAGTGGTATCATGGTGCAGATAGGTAATAGGGTATAGCGCAGCAGAAAATGAAAACATCCGAAAAAAAACATGATATTAAATTTTCTTTGCAGGTTCAGTCGCTCCATTCCTCCACCTTCATGAGAAGGGCGTATTTGAAGGCAGTACAAAGAATGAAAGTGCATCCCCGCAAAGAAGAGTGCCACATGTGCGCACGCGCTGCAAAGGCACCTCCTCCGCCTATCACTCGCTCCTTCTCCCTTAATACCTCGCTGAGAATGACGCTGTTGTTAGGGACCCTGTCGGAAAAACGACAACCGTGAAGAAAAAGCGCTGGGCAAATGAAGTTGTTTTTTAGGTTACAGGAATAGCACAACACACTATGTCTACTACAATACAGTTTCGTTCGAAGGTCCCCATCATATAACACCTTTCAATCGATTCTGCAACTGTGAGTGGAGGAGGGATGCATGGCTTATACCAATACCAAATCGGATGATGACGATTGCTCCTATTCTTATTGTTTGCGTTCAAAGATATTGTTCTAGACACATTCCGAGTGTTGCCAACGAGTCACACTTGCAATGGTGAATGAGGGAGCGGATTTCCAGGTGGCCGGATCCGACCTCGATAGATCCTCGACGCAATTATCTCTTCAACCAAAAAGCTGTAGAAGAAAACTAAACAGACCATCAGGAAGCGCAAACCTTCCGCTTTCCAAAACTATCTTCCCTTTTTCAGGATCTTACAATATAAGAGATATATTGCTCTTGAAGTGGCAAAAACTCGCGTGAAAATTTGGGCCTCCTCGACATTTACTCGACGAAATTTGACAGACCCTATCTTTCTGCAAGGAAGGCTTCCAGAGCAATTTCGATGCTTGTTGGAAACGCGAAATCCAGCTCTATCTAACTCTACCTCAAGCTGCTTCAAAGGTTGTGAAATGGAGGAATGCAACCTTTTCATCGAGGGTGTAGATTCGGACGTTTTTTTTTGAAATTTCGGCAAATCTGACCCAGTGACAATCGCGCCGCAGCTGCCGTTGAATCGGCCTTTGATACACTCGGCTGTTTTGATATACTCAAGCA